GAAAGCCTAGCCCACTTCCGGCGAGCGACCTGAGTCAGTGCGCCTGCGCTGTGAGCGCCCGCTACTTAGGGCACCGCCCACATCTCCGGTCATTGGGTTAAACCACGCCCATCGCGCAAATCTCACGCTTAAGCCCAGCCCCCTACCTGAAGCACTTTTTTCAGAGCTTAATTATAATAAGCTCCCCCGACGTCTCCAAATGCATCCTTCTTGCCTTGGTCCCCTAATTTTCTCCAGTTCATCCCCACCTCCAACCCCTACCCTCTGGAAGTCCACCTCTTCCTCTTAAGCTTCTTAGGCCAAATCACGCCCTTACTTAGCCCCGACCTCCACCCCCTAGTATATAAACTCCATCTCTCACAATTTCAAAGTGATTTCTGTGCTTCCAATCTTCTCTAAAGGGATTCCCTTAAATCAGTGGTTCTCAAGCTATGGTCCAAACACCAGCAGCAGCGGCATCACCCGGGAAATGGTTAGAAAGGGAAATTCTCAGGGCCCCGTCTCCAGAAGTTCTGAACCAGAAACCCTGGGCGTAGGAACTTCCAGTTATAAAATACATAAGTCACAGCGATGTCAGGTACAGAATAGGGGATACAGTCAATAATACCGTAATAGCTTTGTATGGTGACAGGTGGTAACTACTTATCGTGATCATTTCATAATGTACAGAAACACCGCACCACTGTTAGAGACCTGACACTAATGAGTGTATGTCAACTATAATTCTATTAAAAAGTAAAATGAAACACCCTTCAGGCAATTCCGGTGTAGGCTGAAGTCAGAACCACAGCTTTTCCACACCTGCATTGCCCCTCATATATTTCTGCAAACCTTGCCCCTGACTCAGCTCTGCCCCCACAGCTCCGCCCAGTTCTATTGGGCCCATCCTGCTAAGCTCCCCCTCTCGGGGATTCCCTCAGTCACTCCTCTTAGGTTCCCCCTCTCCCCTTGGCCTGAACAGCAGTCATGCCCACCCCTCCTGACACCTTGCTCTCCTAGTTTCCCCTTGAAGCCCCTCCTCTCAGCTAAACCCTGTCCCCACCTCTAGACCCCTCTCACTCACTGCCCACAGCCCCTAAGCCACTGTCAGCACCACTCCAGCTCATAGAGCCCTTCTCCTAAGCCCCGCCCACAGTTCTCACCTACCTGCCCAGTAAGCCTAGTTGCTCAGTCCACACCCCTCCAGGCCACACCCCTTTACCTACCTAAGCCCTAGCAAAGTTGTCAGTTCTAACCACTACTATCAACTCAGTTTTTCTTCCAAACGCGGTCAGGAAAAGTAGATGGGGCAAAGTGGTGGCTGCAGAGTTTCCAGGAATCTGGCTGGACTGGGGGAGGGTGGGCCTGGAGTGTCACCTGCACAGAAGGTTCAATGTTTTCCTTAGAGTGGATATTTAGGGGAGTGCTTCCGGGTCTGCTAGAGCCTGGAGAGGAGACAGAGGCTGCCGCCAAGCCACTTCTTTATCAAGTTAAAGGCACGTGACATGGAGTCCTCCCAAATCCCAAGCACTCCCATGGGTGGTGTAGGGGCAGAGGGCATTTGAAAAGGAGGAGTAGCCCTGGCCAGTGTGGCTCAGTTGGCTGAGAGTCGCTCCATGCACCTGGAGGTCACTGGTTCACTTTCTGGTCAGGTCACATGCCTGGGTTTGGGGCTTGACCCCATAGGGGGCGTGAAAGAGGCAGCCGATCCCGATTCTCTCCCTCTCCCTTCCTCTTTCTAACAAGAAAAAGAGAAGCAGAGGAAGGCCAGGCCTCGCACCAGCACTGAACACACAGGGAAGCCAGGCGGCAGTGATTTATTTCTGAGGTCCAAGGGTCTGTAAGTCTGGGAGAAGGTGGCAGAAGGCAGCAGGGCCCACCAGAAGTTGCGGTCCTCACCTGAAATCCCCTCCCACAACAAGAATCCCACCAGACAGGAGGGTGTCTGGGCTACACGACCCAGGCGCAGCACCTGAACCCCCAGCCCTAAACCTGGCCGGGGGTGTGGGTCAGGCCAGCTCTTTTCCCTCCGGCTCCTCCTCCTCTTCCTTGGCCACTTCTGTGGCCAGTATGCCCTCGTGGTCCCACGGTAGCTCAGGCCCTGGTTCTGGGGGACCCACGGGGGCCCCCATGGTCTCAGGGTGCTTGAGTTTGGCATGGCGCCTGAGCGAGTTGGCCTCTGTGAAGCGCATCCGGCAGATGGGGCACTGGTAGGGGCGCTCCCCGGATGGACGCGGAAGCGGCCGGGGCAGAGCTGGCAGCGGAAGGGCCTTAGGCCTGTGTGGATGTTGCAGTGCCGCCGCAGGTGGCTGGACCGCTTGAAGGTCTTGCCGCAGTCCTTGCACCTGTGTGGCTTCAGCTTTGAGTGCAAGATGCTATGGCGCTCCAGGTCGGAGAGGTAGGGGAAGGCCCGCAGGCACACCGGGCAGAAGTGGGGGGTCTTCTTGGGGCCCGAGCCCTCGGGCCCATCAGCCAAGGCCCCTTCTGAGACGGTATAAGTCACACCCTGATCATCGATCAGCAGGAGGTCACTGCGATCACAGCCACCGCCCATTGGGGCTGTTACCACCTTTGCCGGCGGGGGCTCCTGCCCTGACTTGGGGGGGCGTACCCACTTGCGAGGGGGACAGGCCTTGAGCATTTGATTGGAGGAGGAGGCCTCTCTGTGATGCTCACCCGGGCAGCCCCGGGGGACAGAAGAAGGTAAGGCCAGAGGTTTCTCTTCCTCCCCGGGCAAAGGCGAAGGCAACGGGTCTGGGCTGGGGGTGTCCATTGAGCAGTGGAGGACTTGGGTCTGGGTACTGGAGTCGTGGTCCCACGGTAGCTCAGGCCCTGGTTCTGGGGGACCCACGGGGGCCCCCATGGTCTCAGGGTGCTTGAGTTTGGCATGGCGCCTGAGCGAGTTGGCCTCTGTGAAGCGCATCCGGCAGATGGGGCACTGGTAGGGGCGCTCCCCGGATGGACGCGGAAGCGGCCGGGGCAGAGCTGGCAGCGGAAGGGCCTTAGGCCTGTGTGGATGTTGCAGTGCCGCCGCAGGTGGCTGGACCGCTTGAAGGTCTTGCCGCAGTCCTTGCACCTGTGTGGCTTCAGCTTTGAGTGCAAGATGCTATGGCGCTCCAGGTCGGAGAGGTAGGGGAAGGCCCGCAGGCACACCAGGCAGAAGTGGGGGGTCTTCTTGGGGCCCGAGCCCTCGGGCCCATCAGCCAAGGCCCCTTCTGAGACGGTATAAGTCACACCCTGATCATCGATCAGCAGGAGGTCGTTGCCATCTCCACCGCTGCCCACCGGGGCTGTCACCCCGTGCGCCAGTGGGGGCTCCTGCCCTGACTTGGGGGGGCGGCCCCGCTTGCGAGGGGGACAGGCCTTGAGCGTCTGATTGGAGGAGGAGGCCCCTCCGGGACGCTCACCGGGGTGGCCCCGGGGGACAGAAGAAGGTAAGGCCAGAGGTTTCTCTTCCTCCCCGGGCAAAGGCGAAGGCAACGGGTCTGGGCTGGGGGTGTCCATTGAGCAGTGGAGGACTTGGGTCTGGGTACTGGAGCCGGGCTACGAGGAGAAAGGGGGCAGCCGTCAGTGCAGGGTAGGTCTGGAGCGCCCCTGGTTCCCTGAGACCTCGCCCATCCCTCTGGGTCTCGCGACCTGGGCATGGCTGACATTCACCTGGATGCACAATGGTAGCCACGCTGGGGAGTCAAAGGACAGGATAATTCTGTGCCAGCTGGTAAACAGGCACTGCCCTGAGCCCCAGACACGTGCCCCAGGCCTCCCTCACCCCTGCCACGGATCACGAAGTTCAAGGTCAATTTGAGCCAAAATAAAGAAAAATCTTCAAGGGAGGAGAGAGTCCAACTGAGGGTACAGGCCAGTGCTGTGATCCTCAAGGCAGAGCGCCCAGAAAACTCCAGGGCTACTGAGGCCTGGAAATGTTTCTGTCCGCGCTCTTGATCGCAGAAGTGGGAGGGTCAGGGCAGGACCGGAAGAAAGGCCGTGCTCCCAGGTGGTGTCGGACCCCAAACGGCAGGTGAGGAAATACACTGGAGTCTAGTGTCCGGAGGCAGATGTTCTGAGTTTGATTCTGTAAGGTTCTCAACGCAGGAGACAAGGTCAGAGAGGCAGGCAAGTCAAAAAGAGGAACTTTAATCTGCACTCCCAGGTGAGGTTCACGGGTCCAAGGGCGGGGCCAGTGAAGTAGCACCAAAAGGGAGTGGAGGCACTTTTTTTATACAGCTGTTCAGTGAGGGCGGGGAAGCATGAGCTGTGGGAGTTTCCTCCTCGGGCAGGTCTGTTACGGGTTCCAGGAAGGAACCAGTATCCGTGTCACCATCTGCCTGGTGCACTGGCTTGTTACGGGTTCCAGGAAGAATCCAGTATCTGTGTCACCATTTGCCTTGAGATTGCATGCATCGGCTCCTGGACTTCCCTCCAACCTAACATCCCGGCCTTTTGGTGATAGGGGGCGCCGAAATCGTCTTAGCTACTTCCTGCTGACCAGGGGCGAAGAGGGAGAGGGGTTTTAAAGGCCAGGGTCAGGCAGAGGCAGGTCTGAGGGCAGCCAAGTGTAGGGGTGGAGCAGGAGCTGACTTACAGTCACCCGTGACATCTCCGCGATCCAGGAGCAGATGAACTTCAGGAGGCAGGGGGCTAGGAAAAAAAAGACACAGATGAGAATTAGGGCCCCTATTATGGGTAGGATCCAGGTACCTAAGGGGCTTTGAACCAGCTGAAAAGAGAGTTGTCCCGGGAGTGTCTTGCATGAAGTTCTTCACTCAGCTTAGTCAGGGTCTGCACGTTTTGCTCCATTACTCCGGACTCGTTGATGTAGTAGCAGCATCCTTCCTGAAGAAATATGCAGGTTTCTCCCTTTTCTGCAGTAAGAAGGTCTAGGGCCCGTTGGTTCTGCAGAGTTACTTGGGCTACTGATATCACTTGCCGCTGTAGGGAGGCTAAGGAGGTGGTAGTAGACTCCAGGGCTATTTGAAGCTTGTCATTGAAATCCTAGCAGAGACTAGGCTGTTCCCGAGCTTCCCCCCGCCCCCCACCGGCGAGGCCTACCGAGGCAGCAACACTCACCCTTAACATGACAGGGAGGAAGGCAGCCCAGCGGGCCCGGGGGTGGAATGAAGGGAGCAGCCAGGTGAGCTCCGATTCTCCATACAAAGTTAGTTGGGGAACTACTGTGACCACAAAGCAAGGCCCGGGGTCAGAGGAGTTATGCAGTTGCTTGAGGTGCCGTTGCATCAAAAGAAGGTACCCGGGCTGGCCTTGGTGGGACTGGCTGTGGTATGGTGGGTAAAGTTGTTCCAAGTGACTTGTCCCCCAGTTACCGGATTACTGGTCTGGTAGCATATCCATGGGGACAGGGTGGGCTTTGGAGTTTCAGATTCCCAAAAAGGAATGCCAGCCAAGGGAGGCTGACATTCACCTTGCCCCTGGGTTCCTGGAGGGGTTATGAGTGGGACAGCAGCCAGCAAAGGTCTTTGGAGAGAGGCTCATAGAAAGCAGTGCGAGACACTGGGCAGGGTGCGGGTCTCGTTGAAGAATGGTTGAGTGTGTTGAATAAGTTGGAGCCAAAAAGATAGGACTTCTACCCGGGGGGAGTCGGTCCACCTTCAGGGTCTGCTCAGGTGTTACTACTGCATAGGAGGCTTTCCGACATCCCTGGGGGTCTAGGCATGAGCTTCCATCTACAGAGTTAAGTCAGGATTGGAGAGAGGAGAATCTGAGAGTCCTGCCCGAGGCTGAGTGAGGGCCTTGACGACCTCGGGACAGGAGTGCGTTGCCGCAGGTAGGGTGGAGGCAGCGGGAAGAAGAGTGGCTGGATTCAGGGCTGGGGACTGGGTCAGGGAGATGTCAGGATTCTTGAGGAATAGGAGATGGAGTTCCTTCATGCAAGAGGGGGCAAGGAGAAATAAGGATCGGTGGGACAGGAGATCCTGTAGTCTATGGGTGTAGAAGACCTGTAGGGGTTGTTGGAGGCAGATCTTTTGGGCCTCCTTGGTGAGAGCGGCAGCTGCAGCCCGGGCCTGGAGGCAGGGCTGCCATCCCCGGACCGTGGGGTCAAGCTGTCTAGACAGGTAGGCTATGGGGGTGAAGGCCGGCCCTAGGGGCTGGATGAGGACCCCAATAGCCATTCCCTGTATTTCATCAGTAAATAGTTGGAAAGGCTTAGAGATGTCTGGGAGGGGTGGGGGGAGGATGCCAGAGGGTCTCCTGGAGCTTAGAGAAAGCCTGGCCAAAGAGGGAGGGTGAGGAGAGGGGGCCTACTGGTGTTTCTTTAGCAGCCTGGTATAGGGGTTTAGCTAGGAGGGCAAAGTTTGGGAACCAATGGCAAAAGAATCCTACCAGTCCCAAAAAGGACAAGATCTGGTCTGCAGAAGTGGGAGGCTGAAGGTCTCGCATTGCCTGCGCTCGGTCAACTGTCAATCCTCGGGAATTGGGTGTCAGACAGATCGCCAAGTAAGTGACAGTGGGGGCCGACAGTTGCACCTTGGCAGGGGACACGCGGTATCCCCTGTCCCCTAGAAAGTTGAGGAGATCAGCTGTATGCCTCTGGGATAGGTCCAGGGAGAGGCCGCAGGGAAGGAGATCATCTACATACTGGAGAAGAGTGCTGGGTTCCAACAAGCATTGTTGGAGGTCTCTGGCTAGGGCCTGGTCAAACAGGTGAGGACTGTCTCTGAACCCCTGGGGCAGGACCGTCCAGGTGAGTTGGCGGGATGCCTGCTCGTCTGGCTCCTCCCAAGTAAATACAAACAGATGAAAAGAGTCTGGGTCCGGAGGGATGGTAAAGAAGGCATCCTTGAGGTCAAGGATGGAAAAGTGGGTGGTACAGGACGGGATGCGTGAAAGGAGAGTGTAAGGATTAGGGACCACCGGGTGGATGGGGACCACTGATTCATTGATCAGCCGGAGGTCCTGAACCAGCTGGTAGGTCCCGTCTGCCTTCCTAACTGGGAGGATGGGGGTGTTGCAGGGAGAGTCGATAGGTATGAGGAGAACCTGGCCCAGAAGCTGAGTAATGAGGGGCTTGAGCCCTCGGCGATGAGTGAGGGAGATAAAAAACTGGGGATGGGAGGGAAATGAGGTGGGGTCCTTAAGTCTAATCTTGACTGGGACATCGTGTCTAGTAACCACCGAGGTACAGGTATCCCACACTTTTGGGTCGACAAGGGACACAGGCAGTGGGGGATGGGTGTCCCTGTGAAGGGAGGAGGCCAGGAGCAGAAGAAGCAGGGAGGCTGAAGGGCTCCGAGTGAGCTGCAAAGTGGCCCCCAGTTTGGTGAGGATATCCCGTCCTAAAAGGGGCATGGGGCACGAAGGCATGACTAAGAACGAGTGGGTTATAAGGCTATCGCCGAGGAGATAGGTAAGGGGTCCGGTGGCCAGCGGGCAGGTGGATTTGCCATCAATACCCATGACCGAGATCGTGAAGGAAAAAGGGGCCCTAAAATGAGGGCAGGACAGAGAAGGTAGCCCCCGTATTGACCAGGAAGGAGTCCGGCTTACCAGCTACCTTGAGCGTTACCCTGGGCTCGGTGAGGGCGATGGGGGTCGTCGAGTCCAGGCACCTTCAGTCTTCGACCAGTCCCAGCATGGCCAGCAGCGGGTCATGACCTGGAAGGGTGGCCCCTCCATGCTGAGATGCAGAGGGCCCGTTGCTTTTCCAGGGGCAGTCACTTTTCCAGTGACCGTTTTGACCGCACACCGGGCAGGGCTTGGTTGGAGCCTGGGGCCGAGGGCACTGCTTTTCCCAGTGGCCTTCATTTCCGCATTTGAAGCATTCTCCAGGCGGTGTTCATCCTCTCGTTGCACCCCCTTTGCGCACGGCCCCCTTGGGACCATGCTCGGCTGCCATCGGCCACAGGGCCACAACCAGGGCTTGGGTTTGCAGGTCCACCTTCTGTCAAAGGCAGGCCTCCCGATCCGACTCTGCCTGCTCCTCACGGGCATTAAAAACCTTAAAGGCCATGTTCACTAGATCTCAGACCAGGGTCTGAGGGCCATCCTCAGCCTTTTTTAACTTTTTTCGAATATCTGGAGCCGACTGCGAGATGAAGAGGGTGGCTAAAACTGTTGCTCCGGCTGGGGACCCAGGGTCCAGACGAGCATACAAGGTCAGAGCCTCGGTCAGCCTGTTAAGGAAGACCGCGGGGTTCTCATCTGGTCCCTGAGTGATTTCTCTCAGTTTGTTATAATTAACTACCTTGTGGGAGACGGCCTGTAGACTGGCCATCAGGCATTGGAGCATCTGGTCTCGGTGTCGGCGCCCATTTTGGCCTTCGGGGGTATCTAGTTGGTACTCCCAGCCCGGCTCTTGGCGAGGGACGGCCTGGCCCCTACCGGCATATTGCCATCTGTAAGGTGGACCTGATCTGTGTGGTCCATTGCTGCCCCCAAGACTCTTTCCCTTTCATCTGACGTTAGGGTGGAAGAAAAAAATGACATGGATGTCATGCCAGGTGAGGTCATAGGCCTGAGAGAGGAATCGGAATTCCTTGATGAACGCAGTGGGGTTGGCAGAAAAGGACCCCAGCCACTTCTCAATCTGGGAGACATACGACAGAGAGAAGGGAACATGGACCCAGACAACTCCCTCAGATGCTGCAACCTCCCAGAGGGGACAGAGGAGAGGAGGGGCCTGCGAACATGTGTGTTTGTAAACTGGGGAAGCAGGCGGGGGTGGAGGAGGGGGAGTCACCAGGCAGCTTGAGCTTCCGGCTCCTGCGGTGACCGCGGCAGTGTCCCAGGAGTGGGGCGGAGGAGGGGGGTGGTCAGCAGGTAGGGGAGAAGGCATTACAGGAGGGGGTAGCGGAGGGAGGTCGGGTAGGGAGGGAGGAGGAGAGGGTGCGGACGATGAGGCGGAAGGAGCTTTGGGGAAAGGGTCTGGGTAGGGAGGCCGACGAGTTGGAGGGGAGGAAAGATTTTCGGGGGGTTCAGATAAGGCAGAAAGTGGAGGGGTATCAGTAGGCGGAGTATGTTTCTCACGAGCCAGGAGAACCTGGGCCATGGAACAGGAGGAACAGAGGGAGGAGCAAGAGCGAAGATAGAAAAAGGTCTGGACATATGGGACCTCGGGCCACTTCCCGGTTCGCCGGCAGAAATTACTGAGGTCAGTAAGGATGTTAAAATCAAAGGTCCTGTTTTCGGGCCATTTTGACCCATTGTCCAATTCATACTGAGCCATGCCATGTTATAGAAGTGAATGAGGCGTTTAGGATGCAGATCCTGGGACAGGCCCAGTTTAGCCAGGTTGGCGAGCAGGCACCCTAGAGGTGTGCTCGGATCAGGTTTAGAATTTTGATTACCCATGCTCGATTCCTGCGGTCAGTAGCCGGGGCTAAAGGACCAGCGTCCCAATCGTTTAGCCGAGCTACGGACAGAGGAACCGAGGGACCGCAGGGATGTCTCCATGACCTCCCGGGGTCTGGACATATGGGACCTCGGGCCACTTCCCGGTTCGCCGGCAGAAATTACTGAGGTCAGTAAGGATGTTAAAATCAAAGGTCCTGTTTTCGGGCCATTTTGACCCATTGTCCAATTCATACTGAGCCATGCCATGTTACAGAAGTGAATGAGGCGTTTAGAATGCAGGTCCTGGGACAGGCCCAGTTTAGCCAGGTTGGCGAGCAGGCACCCTAGAGGTGTGCTCGGATCAGGTTTAGTTTTGATTACACCCATGCTCGATTCCTGAGGTCAGTCAGTAGCCGGGGCTAAAGGACCAGCGTCCCAATCGTTTAGCCGAGCTACGGACAGAGGGACCGAGGGACCGCAGGGATGTCTCCACGACCTCCCGGGGTCCGGAGAACCCTTCCCAGAAGGGTCCGGAGAACAGGGGGCAATCTCTGACACAGCTGCGCTTTACGGACAGAGACGCCTGACCGCCAGGGATCAGCACGGGCTGGGACTTACCGCTAATGGGGAGAAGCCGGGGGATCCTGAGCCATGAGAAGGGAGAGGGCACCCCATACCGTAGGGGGACGGTCAGATGGGGTGCTTGCACCTCCTGGGTTTTGTCACCAAATGTAAGGTTCGTGGCGCAGGAGACAAGGTCAGAGAGCCAGGCAAGTTAAAAAGAGGAACTTTAATCTGCACTCCCAGGCGAGGTTCACGGGTCAAAGGGTGGGGCCAGTGAAGTCTCGCCAAAAGGGAGTAGAGGCACTTTTTTATACAGCTGTTCAGTGAGGGCGGGGGAGCATGAGCTGTGGGAGTTTCTGCCTCAGGCAGGTCTGTTCCAGGTTCCAGGAAGGAACCAGTATCTGCGTCACCATCTGCCTTGTGATTGCATGTATCGGCACCTGGACTTGGCACCTGGACTTCCCTCCGACCTAACAGATTCTTGAGTCTGTCACTCTGTGTGTGGCTCTGGGCCAGGTGCACACTTTTCTGAACCTCAGTTAAGCCTTCTGCACAATAGGACGGAGTTCCACCGCCTCCCGGGGACATGCCATGATGATTCACAGAAACCGCTCAGGACACAGAGCATTGGGAGACATCAGCCCTCTGAGAAGGTCACAACCACCCTCACTTGGCAAATGGGGAAACCCGGGCCCAGGGGAGCCATGCCAGCTGCCCAAGCTCCCACCTCTAGGAAGTGGCCGGGCCAAGATTCGGACACAATGGCCCAGCCCGGGAGTGAGAAGAAAGGAACTCAGGGGCCGAGGGGACATCATGGGGTCCTGCCCACCCTCACTTGGCAAATGGGGAAACCCGGGCCCAGGGGAGCCATGCCAGCTGCCCAAGCTCCCACCTCTAGGAAGTGGCCGGGCCAAGATTCGGACACAATGGCCCAGCCCGGGAGTGAGAAGAAAGGAACTCAGGGGCCGAGGGGACATCATGGGGTCCTGCTGGTCCTGGGAAATGGATATACCAGGGCTGTCCATTGACACAGAGTAAGGACACAATAAACCACCGCCACCACCACCAGCATCATCATCATCAGAGCTGGGGTGTCCCCAAGTGGAAGGAGGGGGGAGCACAGGTGCAGTTAGGAGCAGGGGCTGCAGATGTCACTGCGACCCCTTGGAACAGGCGCACAGATGGCGGGGCACCAGCTTCTCCAGAATCACACGGTGCGCTCCGGGGAGGGGGACTGGACTGGAGGACAACCACTGCCTTTGGGGTGGGGTGGTGTCCCTG